CTCCATCCTCAAGGACCCCAGCCACCCCCAGCACGGACGGTTCATACCCCCTACCCTCTGATCAGATGCTCAGAAGTGTGAAATGCAGGACCTCTAGACTGAAAAACACTTTCTTTCCGACTGCCATCAGACTCCTAAACAGCTGACTCAGGATCTACTGTTTACATACTCATTTTGCACATGCATAATTGCACACTCACTGCTGAGTATTTGCACTCCACAGCTCCCACGTAGCATATATTCTCTGCATTATATTGTGTTCTTGTTGCATTTTTATTTGCTTTCTTCATTTGCTGCTTTAAAATGCCATAGATTTGTGATTTTACTGCCTTTTTAGATTTGTGTTATTGCTTATCTACCTTATATTTCACTTGTACTGTGTGGCATTCGTGTGGACGGCAAAGTAAGAATTTCATTGTACAGGGAAACACGTTTCCTAACTGTGCATATGACAAATAAACACTTTGAAAAGAACTGACCTGTCCAATTAAGATGCACAGTACCCATGTATATGCAAACTAACCTGGGCCATGTCTTCATGTTTGCTCCACTTGACAGAGAGCAGTAGCTTTGGCAGTGACTGAGGGAAATTCTCTCGACAATCGTGGCGTAGGGTCCAGATCAAATCCTTCTCATTCTCACACAGCTGAGAGAGCGGGTCACGCTCCATTATCTCCTTTAGCTCTATGTGGAACTTCTTACCACCACGACCCTGAGACAATGGATGATGAAGAAATAAGGGTCATTTAGGTTGGGGTGTTTGAGAGGGTGAGGATGAACAAGAGACAAGATGAGAACAAAGGAGAGGAGATGAAGATAAAGAGGAGCCAGGATGTGAAAGGAAATGAGATGAAGAGGAGGAGCAGCAGCAGCACTGACTGAAAAGAGCCACAAGATGGCAGGAGTGTATCAAAGCATCACAATTTCTCATCAACTTCCTTCAATGCAATTCTTCACAATCCTCAACCCAAGGACTAACACTGAATTAGCTTTGTTAAAAACACTGTATGCTGTCTGATTCAATAGGAACACGTGCACTTCCTTTAAACAGCCAATAACATAAAAGCAAACTGGGTCCTGGTCATTTCTGTACTGAGGATAACATTGGTGGACCTGTGAGGAACTGTTCCACCACTCTACAAGGTGACATAGTAAAAAATGAATATTACTTGTAATCAGTGCTAATTTGTGGTTTCACTCACACCTAACATTAACGGGATTGTGTTCAGGCATGCACTGCAACAACACAGGATTACGTAACTGCTGAGGGGTAGTGAGACAGGAAAACATACAAGTAATCTGATTAGAGTCTCTTGTTTTGAAGGTGAGCAAAATATTTTTGCTACTACACCCGGTCAAAGTGATAAGAGTTTCTAAGGAAAATAGCAGCATTCCTGTCTGAGAGGTGTGACTGTTCACAGTGTGTGCAGGGAGGAAAAATGATGCCTATTAGTTACAAGTTATCTTGTAATAAATGTATCACCCTATTTTCACCTGGTTTGCCATTGTATGCTTTCTGAATGTATGCCAATAAAGTGGGGCTTTGAGTCATTAGTCAAGTCAGTCGACTGCGACTCTTCTACTTGAGCCTTTGTTTTTATTTTATTATACTTTATTTCCTGTCAGCCAGTGTGCATTACAATAGACGGTAGCCCCAGCTGGTAGTTTGTCTTCTTCTCCTCATTTTAGTGTGCCAAGCAGCAATTTGCTCAATACTTCCCTCTGTGATTGGGGGAGAATATCCACTTCAACTGCGACACTGTCCCATGTATGGTTATACATTAAGGTTGGATCTATTTAGCAAATTGCAGAATGAGGAGAACTGACAAAATCCTTAGTTAGGTACAGCCCTAATTGTTCTCTATATACATCAACTCACTATGGGTGCACAGTCACTTGCTCCGGCAATCTCTGCAGCTTTCTCCAGTATCTGCAAAAAAGTAAGACAGCGCCGTATGAGTAAACACATATCACTGTCTACCGGGGTGTGTTAAGTAGGCCAAGCACGTCCTGATCCTCTCATGCCAACAGCCACCACTTTATCATAATCACTACCATTATGAGGAACACTAAGCCACCATGATGACAAACTCAACTGAAGTCAATTCCACAGAGGTTCCATCCAATTCTCTAATGGTGTTTTTCCATCAGCACAGGTCAGATCGCTTTAATCTTGTGGAGCAGGGCGGGCACAGGCTGGCCTCCGTTTCTATCTGTTTCTAGCAGCAGGGGGGATAGTTGTGCAGACTTGAGTCTGTCCCTACCCAGGGGCTAAACTGCGCCTTTAACAGAGCTGAAATGTTGAACCGAGGGAACGTCATTACACATTCAGGGCTGACTGGTCTTGGCCTTCTGACGAGAGGTTAAAATAACCCCTAGCACCAAGGGCTCCATGTTGCAAGCAAGTAACACTACACTCACACTATGAGTTATGTGTCACTTCTCAGCAGCTGGTGCTGCCCCCACGTCATCAAGATACAGAAGATAACCCATGAGTTTTACAGTGCAGTGTAAACAAAACTGTGCTGACTCGGGACCAGCTCAGCACGGCTCTGCCGCCCATACCCCGGCTTAGCATGGCTGATTCACAATGATGGAAAAACACCATTAGTTCAGACATAGTCCAGGTAACGTATAATCATGCAGAATTAATTTGTTAATGTGCATTAAATATTTAAACTTATTTGGATATCCAAGTGCTGCTAAAAAGGTATGTTTATGAGCGGGACTACAACTGAGTGCAATGACTGATGGATCTCTAACCTTGTCGAAGGGAGGGAAGACAATAGGGTGGTATGAGTAGTCTGGAAAGTGGATGTGCAGTGCTGTAGCGTTCTCAGTGTATGGGTTGGTCTGAATGGTTCCTATGGGGTTCAGCATCTCTTCAAGTTCATCTGGGCAAGACACACAGAAATACACACTTTGTTGTGGTGCATGTACTTCATAGTGGCAATAACTGGAGAGGCTCATTTAAGTTTAATTATATTAATTGATATGAAGTAAGAATGAGTATGAGTTTGTGTGTGTACCAGGAAAGGAAGACCAGCAGTGTAGGATGATATCTCCGGTCTTCAGCTGGCCTTTGTAATCAAACACCATGGTGTTAATCCAAGCTATAGGATAATGCTGGATGACAGAGAGAGAGAGAGAAATGGTACATTAGTTTATGATACTATGAAGTTGGTGTTTAAATGTGAAAACTGAAGACGTTTGCTTGTTAGGGTGTTATGTGACCTACATTAGACTGCCGAGAGTGCAAGTTTGTGTGTAAGTCTGTTTCTTACCACTTTTCCTGCTTTGCGGATGGTCTGGTACTTGTTTATGTGAGCATTTTTGGTGGACTTCTGCTTCTTGACCTTATCCATGACAGCATAGATGGCGAAGCAGAGGCGGGTCATACGTGGCAGGTCACAGACAGCAATTTCGAACTCCAGTGTGCTCTCCTTCCACGTGTGGTCCGAGCGTCCACTGCTCTCGCCACTCACTGCTGGCTTGCACAGCAGTTCTGTGCCATGAAAGAGCCCTGCCCTCACCTGGACCTGGTGGATGGGAGGGGTTGGTTGCTACATTACATTTACATTACGAATTTTATCAGTGTCACTATCCATGTGAAATTATGTGGGAGACATGGCACAACTGTGCTTGTAGGTTTTGTGAGAGTAGTGACATTTTAACAGGAACACAACTGTTTCATGGATGTGGACAAAGCAATGGTTTACCTTGGCAGTCTCCTCTGCATTCACCTTGCTGCAGTTAACTAGGACTATCTTAAACAGGCTAGACATGTCCCACACACAGGTCTGTACTTGCTGCAGAGAGAAAGTGAGATGAGAAAGAAACCTGAGTGAGTGAGCAGTGTTAGCATATTGTACTGTAAAATACGCACTCCAACATGCTGCTACTTCATAGGCATGCAAACAATATGGGAGGTCAGACAGCTTATTATGGTGTCAAGCCAAGTGAATTTGCATGGCTCAGCAGTCAGTAGGACAAGCAGCACCACATGACATCTAGAGACTAAGAACATGACTAACTAACACACTCCCTGCTGATTGCTGCCTCTCCCCCTTTGCATGTGGACATGTGTGCTGATGTGTTTAAATGCTCATGGGATTGTGTAATTTGGCTCTTGTCAGATAACTGACTATATTTGTGCCTGCCTTTGCCATTACAGGCAGAAAAAAAGAGCACCATGTACTGCATCACCACAAAAACATCCTCTGCTCCTCTTCTCTTCTCTGGCTTTGTTTGGACTGAGTGTCACTTAGGTTTCCTACAGCACAACATCCAATAACAAGTTCCTTTTGAGAAAATAAATCTCACTTCCTGTCAAAGACAACCACACTTCTACTGTAAACTTATTCTTGTCTGCTGACAACTGGTTTCTGGTGACGTCCACCATATAGCTACAGCACTTCTAAAAAAAAACAAATTAAAAAAAAGAACACATTTACAATTGCCCAACAAGATAACAGATCAAAAGAGCACAAATGTAGTGCACAGTCATGAATCGACTGTTTCTGTGAGATGTAACCAGGACTATCTCAGTCCTAAATGGGTCGAGTACAGCCTCTGTTCGGTTGTGGGTTGTCAGCTTCCGCTCCTCCTATGCCACTACTTAAAACGGGAAAACTGAAATGCTGCCACACAGCAGCTCTAACAGTCAGTGATGGAGCATTCGCTTTCTCAGTTTCAAATTTTGTGACCTGAACACAGTTTACACTAGTAAAGTAATCAAATGTAATATATTGGTCGATACCGTAAAAAGTCCCGCGAAGGTATCGAGAAAAATCTTCTAATCGGTTCAAAGATCAACAGCTAGTTAATAGAGGAATTTCACAACCTGTGAAACATAAACTTGTTTCTTGATTACAGTTAACACCCTGTGGATTATGAGAGCTCTGTAAAAACAAGAGATTTTCACCTGAAAAAGCACAGTGTCAAGTTAGGAGGTGACGAAGGCATGAAAAGCAATTTCTTAGTGTGATGTGAAGAGAAAAGGTGTAATATGAAATATTTCTATGTTGATGAAAAAGAGACTGAACAAGAGGGGCTACAGAAAAAGAAGACGGGGCATGTTTAAAGTTGAAAAGTTCAGTTAATTAGCTGATGAGTCAATCAGTAGAAGATTTACTGGTCACAATTTTGCACTGTCAATGATTTGATTCCCAGCTAGCAGCGTGTTGCATGTCACACCCTTATCTACCATTTCTGGGCTATATTTTCTTACAGTATTGATGCATCTACCATACATGATGATACACAGTGGTGATGACACTTGAGTCTTATTGTCCAGTGAGTATATGAATAGTCATTAAAAATGTGGAAGTGAGGGGACACTGGTGTCTGTTTTTACTGTAAACCAAGATTTAATCATTAGATGGGAACAGGAAAAACAAGCTATGAAATAACTGTTCTAACACTGTTGTGACTGTGATTAATATAATGTGTTTATGTTTCATAGGATGACTCACACTTATAATATTTACCAAACATTCCTCATCAACCACCAGCATGGTTTCAGGCATTTACTGTGAAACTCTAGGAGGCTCACTAATGAAGGCCAATTAAATTCAACCTGACATTTAAAATGTGGATAAACACATCAAAGAGTGATGTCACTGTGCACCTGGAAGCAGCAGCGAGGAGATAGCAATGTTTTCTGACAACGTGGCAAATGCTGGCAGGCTTCGTCCGACGCGCTCAGAACGCTGCCTCATAAAAGACAGACGGCGTCAGCCAAGTACATGTTTACTTGGTAAACCTCTACACCTGCTTCGCTCAGGACAGGTGAATCAATCAAACTGTGAATCTTTTACTATTTCGTTGAAACAAGAACACTACTCAGTAAACGGGCCGATATTAAGCAAGTGTTATCTGAAGTACACATGTGCATTACACACATCAAGAAATCACTGATCAAATTTGCACACATATGTTACTTACTGTATATCAGTGATTGCCAAGGATTAGAAAATGCTAATCACAGCATTTGAAAACAATGTAGAAATAGCTAAATTTGTTACTGAATGCACAAAAGAATTAGCTGAACTGTCTGTCAGTAAAGCAACGCTCCTCTGAAAACATGTTAAAATAGACAAAACCAGCACAACACAGAATTGAGAAGTACATTCATTCCCACAGCCACACACACACATTAGTGGACTAACCGTGGGAGGCCTTCTCTTGGGAGGCAGTGGTAAAGGTGGGTTGGAGGACTTGCGGCTAACCACAGCGCTGATAGTAGAGATCTCCTGTTCAAACATGGCTTTGACGGTGCTGGTGTGAACCAGGGTGAGGTGTGGAGACTCCTTGGCCTGTATGCATGTGCGGATGTACTGTGAACAAGACAGGACAGGAATACTTTTTAGCTGCATATTTAAACCTTTCCTAACACAAAAAACTAGATTCCACGTTTATAGTTGTTCCGTATGTTAAAGTTGAACATGTATTTTGTTCACTTAACAGTAGATCAGGACAGTAAAATATGAGCCAACACCACAGTAAAGTGTGAAAATGCATTGCTGTATTAGAAATAAAGGTGCTTTTTGTGCTTACTGTGTTGTGTGATTATTCTTATGTTCTCTTCTAAGCAGTTATATAACAGCTCTTTCCATCAGTCCACCTGCTACTAAAAGCTAGTGAGATGACCCATACCTTTGTTTACAATTCTGATTCATATGCAAAAAGTGATCTGTAATATGATGTTAACTTAGGGAGAGCTTCAGTGAAGCTGTTTCGCTCTATTGACAGTGAGTTAATAATAAACTAAGTGCCAGGATCTGGTACGTGTTTGCTGCGAAACATCTTTTTACTGTGCCCGGTGCACATGTAGAGTTAATGTTGGTTACCTGAATCTTTCCAGAAACAGCTGAAAACAAGTTATGCATAAACATGCATACTGTAAACACACAATCTGCCATCCAAATTGCTACCAAAAATATTCATTTTGAATCATCATCTGTTTCCTATTTTTAGTTTACACCTAAACTTTTCCCAGTGAACCATGACAATGTTTTCTTGGCTTTGGGTTGTTATTTAGTGTTATCGCAAACTTAGGACAATTGTGCTACCGATACCAATGTGCTATTAATATGCTGTAGCTAGTAAGAAAACAACAATTAAACAAAGACTCATCACACATCAGAGTCAGGAGCTGAGTCCATCAATCACTGACAGACACCTGACAGTCAAAAACAGCCACTGACCTTATACCAAATCAGGGGGTGGTCTCCCAAGAGGAACTCCAGACAATGGCTGACCCTCAGTACATACTGACCCCTCCATGTCTCCTCTTCAGGGCCATGGGTGGTCAGCCACTTCCTCACAGCCAGCTCCATCAGCTCCATGGTGGTGCAGGATGATGGTGCCTTCAGACTGGCTGAGTCCTGCAAGAAAAGAAAACAAACAAAGAGATTGATTCAAGTCTCAACTCAGAGTACAGTCAGGGAAAAAAATTATTTGAACCCCAGCTGATTTTGTAAGTTTGCCCACTAACAAAGAAATGACCAGTCAACAATTTCAGTGGTAGGTTTATGTGAACAGTGAGAGACACAACAATAACAAAAAAAGTCCAGAAAAATGCATTACAAAAAACTTAGGAAAAAGTAATTTACATTTTCATGAATGAAATAAGTATTTGATCCCTTTGCAAAACGTGCTTTAGTACTTGTTGGCAAAACCTTTGTTGGCAATCACAGAGGTCAGATGTTTCTTGTAGTTGGCCACAAGGTTTGCACACATCTCAGGGGGGATTTTGACCCACTCCTCTTTGCAGATCCTCTCCAAGTCATTAATGTTTCGGGGCTGATGTTTGGCAACTCGAACCTTCAGCTCCCTCCACAGATTTTCTATGGGATTAAGGTCTGGAGACTGACTAGACCACTCCATGACCTTAATATGCTTCTTCTTGAGCCAATCCTTTGTTGCCTTGGCCGTGTGTTTTGGATCATTGTCATGCTGGAATACCCAACCACGACCCATTTTCAATGCCCTGACTGAGGGAAGGAGGTTCTCACCCAAGATTTGACGGTACATGGCCCCATCCATCCTCCCTTTGATGTGGTGCAATTGTCCTGTCCCCTTGGCAGAAAAACACCCCCAAAGCATAATGTTTCCACCTCCATATTTGACGGTGGGGACAAACACGGCGTGTTGAGTTGATGCCAAAGAGCTCAATTTTGGTCTCATCTGACCACAACACTTTCACCCAGTCTTCCTCTGAATCAGTCAGATGTTCAGTGGCAAACTTCAAACGGGCCTGTAGATGTGCTTTCTTGAGCAGGGGGACCTTGCGGGCACAGCAGGATTTCAGTCCTTCACGGCGTAGTGTGTTACCAACTGTTTTTTTGGTGACTATGGTCCCAGCTGCCTTGAGATCATTGACAAGTTCCTCCCGAGTAGTTCTGGGCTGATTCCAAACCATTCTCATTATCATTGAAACTCCACGAGGTGAGATCTTGCATGGAGCTCCAGACCGAGGGAGACTCAGACTGTTATGCCTTTGACAGAGTCTCAGGGATAAGTGTTGTATTGAGAAGTGGGCACGTTCACTTGAGACAGAGTCTCAGCTGCTGTGGTTTCGGTTAGTTAAAATCTGTGCCTCATTTCAGTAATCATCAGCATTTACTGAACAAGGAGAGACTGAGCAGAGCAGGACGTTACTGTCAACAGTCACTGTGAAGTCACAGTCACAGCTGCAGCCACCTCAGAGGACTTTTCTGTCGGCGTACAGGATTATGCTGAGTATGTGGCCTGGTACATTAGTACCTGTACAACATTGTGCTACAAGTCAGGAGGTTCCCCAACCAGAAGCCCTGGATAAACAGTCAGGTACGCCACATGCTGTGTGCTCGCTCTCATGCATTCAGATCAGGCTATGAGATGGAGTACAAAGCTGCAAAGTACAGACTGAGGAAAGCTAGACCCCCACAAAGCAGCAGGACCGGACAACATCCCTGGGAGGGACCTCTAGGCTAATCCCTCTGCGGCTCTCAGTAAACTCTATGATGTCATCAACGCACTAGAGACAGCTCCCCCCCGATGCTGTATCGCTGCAGGTTACTTTAACCAGTGCAACTTACGGACTGCACTCCCCAAATATTACCAACATGTGAACATTCCCACTCAGGGCAGGAACACTCTGGATCATGTTTACAGAAGTAACATACGGGGTTGCTGCACCCCGCCCCCACCTTGGACTCTCGGACCACATTTCTTTGTTCCTGTATAACAAACAAACCCTGTCACCAAACAAATTAAACTCTGGACCCCAGAGGCTGAAGGCACCCTGCAGGACTGTTTTGCCCAGACAGACTGGGATCTGTTTAAAGCTGCAGCCACCTCAGAGGACTTTTCTGTCAGCGTACAGGATTATGCTGAGTATGTGGCCTGGTACATTAGTACCTGTACAACATTGTGCTACAAGTCAGGAGGTTCCCCAACCAGAAGCCCTGGATAAACAGTCAGGTACGCCACATGCTGTGTGCTCGCTCTCATGCATTCAGATCAGGCTATGAGATGGAGTACAAAGCTGCAAAGTACAGACTGAGGAAAGCTAGACCCCCACAAAGCAGCAGGACCGGACAACATCCCTGGGAGGGACCTCTAGCACGTAGCATATATTCTCCCTGCATTATATTGTGTTCTTGTTGTAGTTTGATTTACACACACACACACACACACACAATCACTTCAACATGTGTCAGCGTGTAGCTGAATGAACGCATGCTGCAACAGACAGCATACTACATGAAAATGCGTGAGTCATCCACACGTTACCACAACCAGGCTAACATGTCTTGAGAGCCACAGTGAGGCTCCGCTTCATCCTATTTATAGCTCAGTACTGGCCTGATACCTAAGATGGAATTATAAATTCCTGGAGGTTTAATAAAAAAAAAAAAGGTTATCCATGAATAATTAACAACAAAAATAGCCGCAGCTACATTATGGTGGAACGAGAAAATCAGAAGCACAATCATTAGCGTTCCTGGAAGTACTTCTCTATTTTACAACTACTCTAAATGCTTGAGGTAGACAGACTCTGAATGCTAACACAGTAAGGGACTAAAAGAACATGTGCTTAACCTCTGAGGAGGCCTGAGGATAACACCGAAACAAAGGTTCATTGAATGTTCATCATAGTCACATTACAAGAATAAACCACACTTCCTGTCTACAATGTGCCTTATTGTGTCTAACCTCCCAAATAAGGCTTCCTGCCGATGTCCACCTGAACCAGTAGCACAAATGGCCTGTTTGTATACATGCGTGTGTGTGTATGTGTCTGTGATGTTGATCTAAACTGATATGCAAGAGTCTGGATTGACATGACCATCTGTTTTATGATTGAATAACATTATTTCTATTAGAGAAGCAAAGAGACAAAGACAAATGGAAGGAGACAGTTCTGAGACAGGGACAAACAAAGTTCATTTTCATTTTAATCAGCGTTTCGGTCCCTTGAGCCGTCAAGCTAGTGTGTGTGCGTCTGTCCAGGAGGATGGCATAATTTCACTGATGGTTTTGACCCATTTACTGTGCCCAAATAGGAAGTCATGTGATTTTTATGAAGCTGCCAACTATGAGTAGAAGAAGCAACTGAGCTTCAATACATGTGCCTGTACTGGTGGAGTCACATGGTTTCTTTTGGTTTTATCTGCTGTAGTGGAGCAGTAAGACACACTGGTATTCATAGATCATTATGTATGCAGAGATGTTCCTCAGGCAGCATATTATGGGTTTGCCTAATGGGATTGTTTTCATCTTTGGCTACATTGAACTTCACCGGCTAGCAACCTCTCCTTCCTCAAACATGTTCTTAACTCCGAAAAGATCTCAGATGACTAACAGCTGGCACACTAACAGCAGTGCCACAGTTTTTACGCCCGCTTGGTCCTGATGTTCAATTTCAGCCCCAGTTCCCCTCCGACAGAGCAGTGGTAAATCAGGTGCTGAGGATTTTGTATACATTTCCATTCTCTCCTCCCTGATTTTTGCATCCTTGAATGGGAACACCTTAAAATACATATTGCATGAGACACAAAATTCAGGCAGTGCTGCTTTTCTTCTGTTTCTCCACTGCAACTCCTTAGTAAATATGAATACACACAATTTCACTGTTTAGAGCCAGAAAATGAGCTGCAAAACCTTAGTAAATATCCACCTTGGACTTTATTGCCTGCTGTCAACTGGTGACAAACTAATTATTTATGGTACAAAATGTATTTTACCACTTGGTCTTGGTCTCCACTCACTCTGCAGCTGCTAACAGTTTTCATCATTTCCAGCAATGAGTTACAGACTCTCACCTGTGACTGGTCAAAATGGATAATGACTTTCAGGTCAGCCGGTCGGTCACTGACTCCATCAGTGATGGCTGTCCCGCCTGCAGGCTCCAGCTGTGGGGAGAAGCAGGACTGCAGCCACTCTGTGCAAGTCATCATCTGGACTCGTTGCATCCTTTCTTCACTGACACGACACATTTTACCGCGAAAGTCCTTCACCTCCTGGTCATTTATGGCATCGAGTTCATGGAGACCTAGAGGAGGTTGGTAAAGGACATTGAAATAAAGCAGAATATAGCATAATTTAGATTAAGTGGACAGATTAGACTGAAACAGTATTTTCTAAGCATTTTTCTATGTGTCTTCATGTTATGAGAATAAACTAATAATTATACCTTAAGAAACAGGTATGGTCCCTAAGTAATCTTTTTTTATGTGAACTCAGTATGAAGCTCATGAAGCTCCAAGAGATCTGAAGCAAGAACTAAGTATTCTAGTGAAACGTTTTAGTGCCCTGGCTTTAATGTTTATTTAAAATGTACAAACACCTGTGCACAAGTCAATACCAGACATCTGCACCTTTAAGTAATGAATGTATAAAAGCACTGTAGTCTCTCATGGCATTAAAGCCTAGTATTCACACCGGTACCAAATGCAAGAGGTATGAACCGCTGTTTGGCTAATCATACTTTATCCCGCTGCTCCCTGTTTAGTTTGTGTGCCTGTATTTTAATTGCAGGGGTGCTGCAGAATGCTCTCTTGGTAATGAAAACAACAGGTTGACATTTACATTCATTAGACACACAACATTCAAAGAATGGCTCTATGCCACATTAGCTGCATTGTGTGAGTGCGCAAGCTGGTTTGTGAGACTATATTGCTAGAAGGGGGAAAAACACAGTTAGCCTTGCAAGTGTGTAATAGCTTGTTACTGTATATTGCAAGAGGTTAAGTGTGTGTTTGTGAGACTCTCCAGACATGCCTCTGGAGTTCCTGACAAAAGCATTTAAATGATCATGTTGGACCGAAGTGGAGCCAGGAGGGAAGGATATCAATATTGTCTGAGTCTCCTTCAATTAGACTCGCTCTCTCACTCTTTGCTTTTCTTCCTCTGATGAGGTCTGCTATGACTTCTACAGTATAATCCTACATACCCTGGTCAAAAGAAGGCTGAATGTGTGTTCGTGACCTTACTTGTCAGAAAGTAAAAGGACTATTGGTCTTCATAACTGTTATTACTATTTATTTGTTTTATTCAACCAACAGTGTAAAACTCCAGTGTATTGTGGTTTTTCTTTGTGTCTTCATATTTGAGAAGGTAAAACCAGCAAGTATTTAGCATTTTTGCCAGAAACATAACCACAGTGATTTATCAGCTCTCAAAATAGTTGCAGATTAATTTTTCTATCAACTGAATAAACAATCAATCAAGTATTATTTGTTGCAGCTTTAATAGCTACTGTTATTGCTGGGTTGTTATAGATTTACAAGTCTAATTAAAAGGCTTCCGTGTCATTTCTCTTATGCATAAATAAATATTCTCTCAGTGAATCTGAGCTTCAACACATTTTGAATCACCTCAGAGGACTGGAGCTTTTCTATAGCAGTGATTGATCCCCTCTGTTCTAACAAGCCAAATCTTCACCATAGATAATCCAAAGTGACATGTGATAGAAGACATGTCAAAAACATGTTCAGCCAACCCCCATGCTTCTCTATCAGACAGCAGAGGCACTGATAGGAGCCAGCTGCAGATGGGCCTCAGGTTTGATGGCTGCGGTGAATGTGCTGAGTGGTACAGCTACTTAGAGTAGAGGGGGAGGTGCTTAAGGCTTGTTGGGTGGAAGAAAGATTTACTGCCCCACTTATCAACTCTTAAGTGCTTTTTAAAAAAGGGACAGTAAACAAATCAGTAAGGGGGGGAGGTGTGTCAGAGACTGCGTTATAATCTGTCACTTTTAATAGAGGAAAATGTCTTAAGTGATGCCAGCTTACCCTTGCCAATGAGCACACCAATTTTGGAGTCAAGCAGACGCTCTGCTCTGCCACAGTTGCGTGTCACCAGCTTGAGGACTGGCAGGAAAGGGCGAACATCACACAGCCGGCGAGTTTCGTCCTCCAGTTCTTCGTGCACGGCTGCCTGGTTGACACACTCGAACATGTGGCTCTCCATCTCACCCAGGGCAGGAAACAGTGGGAACTTCTGAGCCTGTTTCCATAAGAGCTAGAAGGGAGAAGTAGGAGTGGGCTTTTATTGAAGAGTTCTGCATTACAAAACCACAGGGAGACATTTATCATATCCATTAGTCTAAAGTAAATAAATCCTACTTGGAATATCCGCAGCTACAACAAACAACATCCTTGTTTTTGGCTCGATGGCCAAAGTTATCCAATTATTTTTCTTTTGTAACTTTGATATAACAAGACTTATAGCAGTTTCTTAATGCCAGTTCCCAAGGCCAACAGTTTTTTGATTTTTCAATGTTGCTTTAAAGCTATGTAACATATCATATGATGTAATAGAAATACATAAAGTATATGATTCATGGTCACCAACAAACATGGCTCATGGGTAACATGACGGCTTTTGCATGAGCTAATCAAGATGTGAATAATATGTCCATCAGCCAATCCAGGCATGATTCATGTCACTTTGCCCCCATATCACTGGGCAGGGTGAGTCCTGTGAGTGTGTTTGCCTGAGGTATAAAGCTGTGCTGTAGCAGACTGGAATAAGATATTTGCCCCCAACAAATCACAAGCACATTTGTTGTTCTTAGTAATTAGTTACCTAACAAACCTGGTGTATACAATTCCTGTCATGCTATCCGCATTTGTCAATTTCATTTTCTACAAGATTACAAGCCAGCAGGCACAAGTTACGAATAGAAAAATATTTCCATATGACAACTGTCAAAACATTTTACAACAGTGTGCTTTTTGAGAATTCTGATCTTGTCTTTACAAGAATGAATAAAAAAAGAAAAAACATTCCCAGTATTACTTGGTACTTCACTGATGAAGATCCTGGTACGAAGCCTGAACTATTCTACCTAAACTAATACCGTTCTTAGCTTCCCATTTCAAATTTGTCCTCCCTTTCACCTACTCGAAACACCTCAGGAGTCTCGTTCTCAATGTTTTCTCCCTCTTCCTTCTGTGGCACACAATTTGTCAGGGCTTCTTTGCAAGCTTCCCTCAGGGGAATGAGGATGTATCACGTGTGTGCCAACAGAACACACATGCATGCATCCAAAATTAACCGAAAATGGGCAGAAACTGCACTTATCATATACTCCCATGAAAAATAAACAAACACATTACTGCTAAAAGTGAATATTTTGTGAATGCCGGTATCTTTGGTCATGTTACATGTCTGATGAAGCAAGAAGTGATCTGAAAAAATGCCAGAAAAGACCAGACAGACTGTTTATTTTCTAGTCAGAACGACCTCCTCAGGCTTTATTTAATGGTGTCTGTCTGTCGAAAACATGCTCGAGGTTGTGTGTCAACGCAGGACATGTTTTCTAAGTTGATAAAAAATAGAAGGGAATGTGAAATATCTTCTATAAGAAAGTTGCCCCTGGAGTAACCAGAAAAACAGAAACTCTATCGTAATGTGATCCAGTGAAACAGCCTGGGAGTACTAACAATAACAAATACCATCTAAAAACAAAACAAAACAAATACTTTCAACTCTAAGCTAATTTCTGAAGCTGTAGTTTAAGTACAAGTTAACTTTTAAATTGTTTTCTGATTTTTGACCCCCACTTCACATTATTAGTTGCAGTCATGCATGATACCATGAGCTATTTGTATGCTGACGGCAATAGCTACTCCTAAACAAAAAGCACTCAATGAGCCACAACAGCCACTTGTGTCAAGACAGGCATTAGATGATGCCTAACTGACCAGCTGTGTGACTGTGTGTGTACATGTCAGTATATGTATGTGGGGCTCCAGACAGTTATCTTCCTTATTAGGACACTGGGCTGAGAGGCATGCAAAGATAATATAACTTCAGGACGCCCAACGAACAAACAGATACAGTAATTAAATCTCTTTTAAGTGTGTTACAAGTTGACTGAATAATCTTTTGTGTTGCCGCAACACAGCTCACACCTGGCCACTGTGCTGTCACCCAGGCAGTGCCACTTGCCGGTTTTCCATGCATTTTCTGCCTTTATTGTTACCGAGAAATGGGGGAGGAAGCAGAGACAGATAGAAGGAGATAACAAATGGCAGCAGGTGGACTGGAACTACCCCCGTCTGGCATGATGCACATGTACATGGTGTTCTTCCAAAAAAAAAACAAAAAACTTGGTGCCACTCACCAGTTTGATGTGCTGAATGGTGGCCTCGCGTGGAACATCCATCTGGATGTAGATACCGGTGGGGAGCAGAAAGTCCACTGTTATCTGGTCCGAAGCTTGTCCGGCCAGGGGCGAGTGGGTCACCCATATGTCCAGGAGGTCTGTCATGGCAGGAGGCATGGCAAGGGGCACCACACACCACCTCAACCATAAGGACCTGGAGGGACAGAGGAAAACATACACATTAGACTGAGCTTCAAGGTTTTAATAAGCATTCAAATTTTATATTTCCCATTTATTACTATATAACTGTTCTCAATAAGTCGTGATTGAAGGGTGTGGTTTGTAGGATAAGAACAAGTCAGTCTTGATTACAGAGAAGAAAATGAAAGCTGAGGTTAGAGAGTTGACAAACTTCAAAAAGTAAAAACTGACATGAAAAGCTTTAAAAAAAGGGTTCATCATATAATCCTGTTCAAACAATCCAGCTATATAAAACAGGCACATCTTAAATTACTGAAACAATTCAAGTCATATGAAAAACTACCCTGGTGCCTTATTCTACTATTCTTCCATGAACAACAAGTTGAGGGTACAGATGATTCAGTGTTATTGTGTCCCTGTTGCTGGCTTTAACTTTGGGTAAGGGCCAGTGGTCAGAAGAATTCCCACTAAGCAAACAGAACAAAAGGTCAGTCTGCTCTCCCCTGGTGTGACAATACGGTCCCCATCTGCACAGAGCACACAAACACTTACACTTACACAGGGGTAGTGCATGCATAAGAGGGCACACCATCCCTAAACAGAGAAAAATATGGAGTGGCCGCTGCTAAGGTAATTATCGAGTAAGGCAGGAGAGGGCTAGCCTGCCACTGTTCCTCTCTGTGTGGCTGAAAATGGGCATTTCTGTCAGTCAATGAGAAAGTCCAAAGCATCAAATCACAAAACTCAGCACATGCATTGGAGGGCAAAAATCAAACACACACACACACACACACACACACACACACACACAATTAAACATGTTAACCACAGGGAGTTTCTTCAAACTGCAGTAAGTGGCTTTCCAGCTGTTTGTGTAAAACATTCCTCATGCCTTAACCACAGCTGTACCATCTCACCACTTCCACATGCCTTCGCCTCATTACCTAGTCCTTGAGTGGCCTTCCAGTACATTAAACTCTTCCACTAGGCCGCAGGTCCATCTCCATTTCCTCTTGATCCACCCATCGCAAATGACACCCTGATTGCCTTTAATGGTCTTTCTCCTCTAAGTTAAGTGCTTGAGCTACCAGCAGATGAGCCTTTGTTATGCCACGTGCCTGAGGATCGTGCAATATCTGTGGTGCATTTGAAGCCACAATCTCAGCCACTTAACATCATCGGCCATGCAAATGGAAAACAATCTTGTTTCTGTGTGTCTTTTAAACTGTAGATCGGTCTGACCATCCCTTAAAGGGACTTTGCAGTTACTGTATACAATAATGGGTGGTGTATAGGCAAAATTAAGTAAACATATAATATATGCATTTCAATAAGGGTGTGGCTGCTTTGAGTGACAGGTGGGAGGGTCCCACCATAGGTGGTTGGCCACTAGCAGTCCGGAGAGTTCCACTCACGCTCCACCTCTTTGCCAATTTTTGGATTATACCGGGCAGGCGCGATGAACCGCTACCGATAT